ACTGAATGTACAATACTGAACTGCCAGGAACAAAATTTATTCATAATAAAAAAGAAGAGAAAGTTTTTAGCTGTGCTGTACAGTAATTGTTAACGGTGATATTTGACTCAGTCCTCTAAAAATAAAAAAGATTAGTATGCTCTGAAGCAGAAGTGTTTTGGGCAGTCAATGCTAAATACCCAGTGAGCTGCAGGCCGCAGGTGGCATTTTTGCTGTGTGACTTCATCCCTTGCACTGAATAATTGCATTATATCTATGAAATCTGTCAGTTTGTGATGTGTTCTTTAAGGACCCTTGGAGTTTAAAATGGCATCCCAATATCTTGCTGGTCCCCTGTCTTTCTGGCTGTCACCAGTTACTGGTGCTGTTCCTGTGTCTTCCACCTAGCCCCAACAGCTGGGATTCGGATACTCCACAGAACATGGTGGAAGAGGGGACATGGGCGATGTGTCGATAGATCTCACTACCTAGGTTTATGGGTTCACCAAACCTATAGATGCTATGGATGTCGTTACCAAGATAGGTTAAAATCACTGGACAGGTTAAGGTTGAAGTACAACATATTCAAACCAGCTGGCAAAATGAAAGATGAAGAACAGCTTATTTGCTTGCAGTCAAGCTGAAACAGGAAGGTCTCTGTCTTGCCCAGCTGACTCGCTGCCTTGAGACAGTGACTTTGTGCGTGCCTTACGATTCTGCTCCTATCAGTTAAACAGCCCTTCTCCGTGAGGGAGCCTGGACCAGAGAACACTCTGTCTATGTGGAGTCTCTTATTTAGGTCAGTTTCTAGGCAACAGAACAAGCAAACAAAGGAGAAACCCTCCGGAAATCCAAACTTTTAATTGTTTCAGGAACTGCTTGCTCTTCTTGCCTTCAGAAGCACTTTCTAAGCAAAAGTGTTGCTCAATACGTAAAAAGGCACTTTACAAACATAGTGTAATTGCCGGCGAGCCGTTGCTGCTAACAAGATGATGTTACGTTCTGTTAGCTTGGGATTCAGGGAATGGGATGGTATTTTATAAAGTATATCTGAGCTGGGCAGCTGTTAGTCACCTAAGCTGAAGCTGTCTGCCCAGTTTTATTCTATACAGGAATGGAACTAAACTAGTTTTGATCAAGTCGAAGTTTTGCATATAAAGTGACTTCATGGGTTGAGACACTGTCGTCGGAACATGCTGACCGCAGTGGCTTTGGCCTGGGTGTATAGGCAGAGACTGGGAGGGCCTGGCTGATTGTCTTTTGAAGGGTCATGATGGAGTCAGCAAATTCACAGGGGCCACATTCTTTGCAATGGCCAGTGGTGCCTAAAGAGTTTATGAACAGCAACAGAGCACCTTCAACTATGCATTTTATAAATGTTACGATATGTTGTGGTGATGTATGTATCATGGCATGAGCTTAAGCTAAAACACAAAATGCATTAAAGAGAAATTAACATCTAGTGTGATACACAGCAAGATCCATGGGGAATAAAGCCATTAAAGTTAGAGGTTTAGTTGATGCTTTGTAACTGGCAGGCTGTGAGCTTCAAGAGGGAGGAGACGGGGTCCTGGCACGGGGCCTGCTGTCATACAGCTCTGGCACAGACTTTTCAGTGAAAGGACTGGCATAGCGGCTTCTGCATGCGGTAGGGCCAACCATCTTGCAGGTTGTGGGACTGCACTGTGCTGGGGTACAGGATTCAGAGCTAGGTCCCAGCCATAAATTCTGATATTACTGTGGGAAAAAAAAGCTAATACTTCAAAAATGCCAGGAATCTTGGAGTGCCTAAGTAATTGAGTTATTCACTTGGTGAACCAGGCTGTTCTTTATTGCTTTTCATACACTGACTCAAAATTCAGAATATTGACTCTGACCCTGTGGAATCCGGACCTGACAATGTCCTCTGATCCTGCTTTGACTCTTGGCCAGTCTTTCGCATGTGTTTACTTGCAACTGTTTGCATGTGAATTTCTAGAATGGGTGGGGAGGTAGGGGAAGCAAAGTAATGCTTTCTTTAGGAAAAAAAAAAAAAAAAAAAAAAAAAAAGAGGCAGATCTTCCATCTGGTCTTGGGGCAGGGGAGACCCAACCCACCGAAATGAACCCAGGAACCCGTAGTAGGAACATTGTCAGAGGACCAGCTTGCACATAAGCAGTAAGCAAGCCATGCGAACACAAATGATTCCTGTTCTTCATCAGTCAACCAACTCCAATTGTCTTTCTTTCCTGACATAAAGCTGAAAATTGTTTTAGTAACAGCTTTGGTGAACAATTCTGTCAGTTGCCCTTCCTTTCAAATAACTCCCTGCTTTTTCCTTGGAAACCTCTTATTTTGACATCTACCTGCTGAGTCCCAGCTAGCTTTGTGCCTCGTTTCACATTCCCCGCCTACATGTTTTTAATTTTCCCCCTAGTTTTTCAACCTAATCTCTTGCACCTTTTCTTTCTGTGCCTAGCCCACCTTCATTTTCTCTCTTTTTTACTGCTTTGTACCTGGCCAGAGATGCATAGAAGCAGGCTGCCAGGACAAGCCAGACCTAAGGCAGCCTAGAAGCACAGCTCCCAGGACACAAATGTTACCGCACAGACACGCACCCCTCTGCCAGCACTAGGATGAGGGGAAAAACTGGCACCTGTGCCCCTGATGCCACCTGAGAACAGGGAGTGGGCGAGGTTTGCGGTGGGAAGCAGGCGTGGTATCCGGACAGAAGCAGGACTCTATCCCGATGGACCAGCTCCTTCGCCACATCACTGGTCAGAGCCAGCAAGGAATCGGGCAGACCCTCCGCTGAGAGACATGAGTCCCCACGCATGCTGCCTTAATCCAGCCCCTGTTGGCTGTGGTGTCTCTGCATCCTGGGATTCCTGCTCTCCGCTTCTGCTCTTGCCCTTGTATCTCCTCGGGAAAAGGCGGTCACCTCCTGGGAATAGGGTCAGGTTGGGAAAGAGGCTCTAGACCTGCTCCTTCTCCCAGCAGTGGGAGGAGCAGGGAACGCTGTGGCTCCCTGCCTGCCGTGCAAGCCCCTACTACTAGTTGAAGCAGCACTGCTCAAGGTGTTTGCAACAAAAAGTAATCCGGTCTTACTGGCAGCCACAGCACAGACTGAACTGGATTTTCCTGATTTATGTTAAACCATCTTAAATTTGTGAGTAGGAGGAGGCTGAGTAAGCAGCTTGCCTTTTTTTTTTTTTTCCTTCTTTTTCCGTATCTTTGTTTTCATTCCAAAATCCCAACACAGTCAAATTCTGCCACTTTTGGCACAAAATGTCAAGACTTACTGAGGTCAGACTACACAAAACAAGTTAATGCTCTAAAATAGGGGCAAAGGGACTTGCCTCTCCTTTACATTATCATACACTGATTAATTGCATCCTGCCACTGAACAGGGGTGGAATTTAAAAGCAGACAGCACAAACGGGGAGTAACAGAAAACATTTCCTGGAGAGATGACTCTTTTACAGTCTGGTAGTGGCACTGTGAAGAGTTAGGCTAGGGTTTTTTTGGGGGGGATGGTTGGTTGTGGTTTGTGTTTTCCGTTGTTTCGTGAAGTAAGGAATGAGGAAATGCAGAATTCTGGCCTTTATGACATAAGCACATTTAGTCCTCCGCACTGGCTACAAATTGCCTATTCCAAACAAGAAACGTTCAGCTAAATACGGGGCCAGGAGGGGGGAATAGAACAAACAAGGCACTAACACAGAATACGCACGTGGTACATCACTAGAGCACATGGACAGAAACCAGTCACTGCTTTACTGCGTGTGCAAGATTTAAGTTTTATAAAACAAGTTAACTATTGCAATAAATAATCCTGAACTTTGACTCCAATAATAAAGGAACTGAAGTTTAGTTTTATTCAGGATGCCTTCCTGTTTATCATGCATTCTGCAACAACGAATCCAATAGGGGTACACAGAAATGTTGTTTAACAACTAAAAACACCCAGTAAACGTGTCCTGAATTGCTGTATTTGCTGTTTCCCTTGCTCCTCTTCACTGTAAAGCCAACCAACATCAGAGATGGCCGCAGCTTCGTCAAGGAAAAAAAAAGCCAAGCAACCACCCAAAGAGTTCCATAGACTTCCATAGACTTCCATAGACAATTTCCTTCAAATAACTCAAGCAAAGAGCTTGCGCCTGACCTTTCAGAGACAACTTTTTCCTTTGTCACCCTGCTGCTTTCCAGTGTGTTGCAGCACACAGCTGGAATGGAGTACTAGTTACTCCCTTACCCAGCCCTCTCAGCCATAATCCTTCAAGGATTTGTTTCCAGCAGAGAAGCTTCCTTCACCCTCCTTCCCCACCTCACCACCACGCCAGCCCCCCACTACCCTTCCCTCTCTTCTGGGGTAGCGACGGGGGCAGACAGTCAATTTTGGAACAGCTGAATTCTCCAACTAATCAATCCCTAGCAGGCAGCAGACAACCAGGAGCAGATTAGCATAGTAAGACAAATGTATTCAACTAAGCATAGTGGGAAGGAAAAAAAAAAGCAAGCTTTAGGGTTAAGCAAACCACTATGAAACTGACAATCTCATTTAGCACCTTTGGATTTGGCTGCTGGCTTTGGTATTTGTGAGCACAACCTTGCTACTCTAATTTAACAGAATCTTGGTTTTCATACTGGTCTGAACTCTATACCAAGAAACCAGCAAAAAAGAGGACAAGCTTTGTTCAGAAAAGTACTGATTTTATTGACTCAAACTGTATTTACACAACACATTCATATGTTCAATATCTTACAGACCTCTGTAAAAAACTGACTGATAAAACCGCAGGAGCCCAACTGAGTTTCAGACTTTAAGACACTGAACCATGAGTACATTTTAAAATATTTAAGTGGGTGTCCAGTTTCACTGTGAACTTACATGGCAGTTCTCTGCAGACAAACTCTTTCTAAAATCAAAATGAAAGGTGGAGGGGAAAAAGGCGAGATGAAAGAGCCGATAGTTTTGCAAAGCTAGTACTTTGTAAGACCAGACTTTTGGCTAAGCATTCAACACATTTTGTACGATTCTTTTTTTGGAAGCAGGTCACATACAGGTATACTTTAGATGAATAATCAAAAAAACTTTAATTTTTGTAAGCTTACATAAATTTTCAAAAAAAAGAGACCAGTACCACAAAGTTTGTGCATGAATCTGAACTGTTTCAAAGTTTGAGAGGCTCAGTTCTGGCATTCCACTGCGGCTCAAATCCAATCTGTGTTTCTTCAGTTGACAAATGAAAGATGATCACCTTTTACCAGTGAACTGATGATATCACATAGGTAAATCGGGAGCAGAATATCCTTATCACAAGAGATCGCTCTTCCACCCATCGCTAATACAGTTTGGTTGAATAAATATTTTTTGTTTCGAAGTACAAACCTGGTGAGTTTGTTTCTCTTCCAGAGTGCAAGTCAATATCACCTCACACTTTGCAGTTAAAATGGCATCCCTCCTGTGATCTGCCTAGCAACCTGTTCATCTGTTGTCTCCTCTTTCTCTTTTTCACGCTCTTTGTTCCAGTCTTTAAGGCCTTCTGGTAGTGAAGTATCCTCATCCAAACTTCCTGTACCTTCAACAAATTCTTCGTAAGTAGACTTTTCTGCAAATGGTCTGGGGCCAAGCAAGTCTAGCATATCACTTTTATCAAGCACTTCCTTCTCCAGTAGTCGCAGGGCAACCTGGAAGAGCAGTAAGCTGTCACACACAAAATACCTAAGCTGGCTCTCTTCCAAGGACAAGTTTAAGGCAGTTTGGGACCAAACTCAGCACTGATTAGTTTTGATAGAAAAGACAGGTTGCTCAGAGTTCACTTAATACATGATTTTTGCTACCTAAATGCTCACAAGGGAGCAACACACAATTTTTTTTTAATCCCACTTTTAATATTTGGCAAAGTGCCCTCCCTATGGGCCACTGTTGCTGTTATTGTTGCTTCAGAACAGCAGACTTTTCGCTGCTGCTAAAAGGCTCCTGATGCAAGACATCAGGCTACAGATGAAAACAAGCGTTCCCTTCCCTACAGATGAAAACAAGCATTCAAACCAGATGGTTCAATAGGGCTGCTGTTACGTTATCAGCTAAAGAGCGCCATAAAATACCAGTGTGCGCAATACTGTACAAGTGTAGTTTGTAACCTGCTTGGGTCAGTGAGCACATTGTTCAGCACAAAGCGCATTCAGTGATCTTTTTTGGGATGGTGACCTACTACAGCACCATTTACTGAATCCATACCAATTTGTCTTCTCCTCAGCAAGGCTATCGGGTGCCTACCCTGGAAAATGATCCTTTTGCTGTCTCAAGCTTTCGGGCGTGGAAGAAGAGAATACACACAAGGGTAATCTCAGCTGCAGTGAGGCAGATCACAAGCAGCCAGAGGTCAGGGAAGGAAGACGGTAGAAAGAATTTTTATTTAATGTTCAGAAGGAATTCAGAGAAAGGAAGTTATACATACTTCGCTTCTTAGAGAGCTTCTTTGAGCCTAATGAATTGGAATCCTGGTATTTCGTGTCTGGGTTTTTTAAGTTTTGTACTTCTCTAGTACGTCTGCTAAAACCTACTTTTGTAGATAGGCTCTTCCCTCCAACTTTCCAAATGAATATTGACCATGTAAGGGGGAAGGGATGTTAAATCATGGTCATGAGAACCTCAGAGGTGTTCCAACACAAAAAATAAAGAAGTAAATAGAAATCTCCTTAAGTCTTGTGACACACTCTCAAGATTATATTGAATGGTTTTTGAGCAAAATTCCTCATATACTTACATAGTCACTATTTTTAATCTATGCAGTTCAATGCAGATTCTGGCTTACCAGCTGGAACTTGGCAACTAAAACCACTCTAATACTCACCTTCTCCACTTCTGCTTTCTTCTCAGTCAGAAGACTTAATGTCCTGTCATAAGCAATGTTAATTAGCGACCGTACTTCTTCGTCTATCAATCTGGCAGTTGCCTCACTGTAAGGTTTCTCTAATACCATGTCTCCTTGACGAGGGAGATCAAAAGAAATCTGCCCTACTTTTTCATTCATACCAAACTGAACAATCTGAAGAAAAAAGAAAAAGACAACAAAAATCAAACAAAGAAGAGACAGTAAGATTTTAGGGTATGTTGATGTAAAATATGGTAAACAAAACCGAAAGGAGGAAGTAATTTTGCTATGACCCAAATCTTTTCCTCTAAAAGCAACCATCCCCTGAAAACTCAAGTCTACCTAAGCTAAAGTACCCGAGTTGACTTTTGCTTATTTCTTTTTAAATTATTAAATTGAAGGACACGAATACCACCATATAAAGGTGGTTACTCTTGATGTACATAATGCTTTGCTGTTTAAATACTAAGATATTATAGAAAAACACTTCAGCCTTCATTAAGCAGTAAAACTCTTTTCCTTTACCAGAAATGGGTTTTTCCAGTTCAAACTGCTTCCGAAGTCTAGCATATTCCACTCACCCATATAGGTAAGTTAACTTAAGTATTAAAGTAGAGGGTCTTAAAGATTTTGTCCTATCATATGCAAAAAATCATATGCTATACTTCATTCCAAGACACTCTCCTACAAAGGTGAAAATTATTCTTATCTTGCTTGACTCATTATGGAATATTGACCCCTCTGGTTGCCAAATATGGACGTTTTAAGTTGCATTTTACTCCAGCAGGGGCATAAAAGTTCAAACTGCTATTTATGGATTCACACCATGGCTACTATCAATTTGATGGTTACTAAAGTGGCACTTCTCTGCTTGGTCTTGCAAGATCAACATAGGTATGACAAAGAATATTCAGAATTCAAAGAGATCTCGGCATTAGAACCAAGCATCTTAACCTGCTTCCTTAAGCAAAGTTCAACACTTTTATTTAAGCCCCCAGTTCTCTCTGGAGACAATACATGCAGTTAATGTGAACAAAAGTCTATACTTAAACATTTTTTTAATTTAAAATTGAACAAGAGTCACTGCAGATCCCATAAAATTAACAGGATTTCATTACACATTTGCTTCTAAAACTGGGGCAACAAGAAGCACATCAGAGATCAGGAAGAAGGTGTGGTTTGGGGGTGAGGGATAAGTGCTGTGCGCGGAGCAGAAGCATATTCTAAAATGCCTCTCTTGCTGACCTTGTGAGTGTCTTGTAAAAGGACATCTTTTGTGTTGATGCAGGAAATGGAGTAACACACCCATAGCACATAGCTACACTTAGGTGAGTCATTACATTGATAAGATTTCAAATTACTCATCTACACTGGTGATACAAACACAAACTACTGTCTTAATTTCAGCAGCCTTAATTGACAGCAAATAGTGCTCAAATACAAGGTTTTCTGGATTTAGTTACACATGTGAACCCAAATTGGGTCTTCAAGATGGGCAATTGTAAAAGTAGGATCAGATGATCCAATCTGTGCACTAAATTCCATTTTAAAAGTATACAATTTCCACATGTATTTGAATCCAACTGCAGCATGTATGTTCCTGTGGGCAGATGTAGGATAGTGAAAGCCTAATGCATGGACTCCTCTTGTAAGACTGTAATAAAATACTTGAGTCATCAGCATCTTCATACAACAGCATAATGTTTATTCACATAGTATTTTTTGAAACTAGGCTTTTGAGGGACATACCTGATCAAATTGCATCATTTCAAAATACCAGTGTTAGGTAGTAGATAAAGAAAACTGCAAGAAGAAAAAAAAAAAGGTCTCATTTAAGCACATACCTGAGCATACGCACTCTGGGTCACCTTCTTCAAGTCATCTTGGGCACCAGTTGTAATTCTTCCAAAGAAGATTTGCTCAGATACACGTCCTCCCAGAGTCATGCACATTCTGTCAAGTAGCTGCTCTTTGGTATAAAGGTACTGTTCTTTGGGTAAATACTGAGCGTAACCCAGTCCTTTACCACGTGGGATAATAGATACCTACAATCAAAATTAACAGATGGTTAGAACTAAATAGTGTTAAAAAACACAAAGCATTCTTCAGTTTGACAATTTTTAATACTGCAACCTATACCATACTCGCCCTTGAAGCTTAATTCGACATTATTTCTGTTTACAGTTTTTTGCTCTTTGTGATTTATCCTTAAAAGCCCTGGCTAGCCCTAAACTGGGAAACAACTACTAGAATATCTGGAAAAGAAAGGTAAGACTGTCATGTCTTCTCCAAAGACTGTATGTTATTTTTAAAAATCTTTTAATGAAAATCTAAAATCCTTTTAGAGTTATGTATTGGGCTTTAAGTATTCTGTAAGAGACATAGCATTTCTTCATCTCTAGTATTCTGACTAGTTGGAGGAGTTTCCATGTTTACTAATGCCCTTCCTTCCAGCAGTAAATTGTACAAGATTAATTTTAAGCTTGAAAGTCAGATGAGGTTAAGAAGAGTCAAGCAAAACTATGAACATTAAAGCAAGTTTGGGAGATTGAGGTGCTTTTTCCTCCATCTTCAGCTTGTCAAGCTGTGCATCCAAAAAGCAAGTTAAAACTAAAATCAGCCTCTAGATGACAATTTTTACAGTTATATTGCTCAAGAGGCATCTACCTGCATAATCTGGTAACATTAACTTAGACCACTGATCTGTACTAGAAGCCTCAGAGAAAAAGTAGCTATCAAGGCAGGCAGACTCAGGGGAAGATCAGGTCCCTTTCACTTTCCAGGGACCTTTATACTACAAACCTTGTAACAGGTAAGTCAGAAAACAGTTAAGAAAGCTACAAGAAGTAAACCAAAAAAGCACTCTAACATTTACACACTTACACTATCTTTGCGAGATCACATATTTTAATAATCTCTCAACATGGGGGGGGAAGAGAAAAAGAAAAGCAAAGCAAAAAGATTCCGTCCATGCTACTGTTAAACAACTAGTTCAAATTAGTTTCCTTTACCTTTAAGAGTGGGTCAGCATGTTCCAAAAACCATCCTGCAACTGCGTGCCCTGCCTCATGATATGCTACTGTCTTTTTCTCCTCTGGTTGCAGCACTTGAGTTTTCTTTTCCAAACCTTTATAAAATAAATTTGATTCATAGTTTCAGACACACCTTTCTCCACTGAAAGCCCTTACCTCATTTAGAAAGACAGTGAGCAATACTCAGATGCCATGTATACAATCTATTGAAAAAGTTTAAAAAAACGCAAAACCTGCACGTTTTAGAAATTGGTACCTTCCAGGTTTTACTGTAACCTTGTCCGTGATTAGATTCTTCTACTTTCAAAGTATAAGTCCTTAAGAATATTCAAATGTTTAAGTAAAACATTTGCACTTTAAAAATCACATAGTTTCCTAGACTATTTCAGGCTAACAGCAGTTAAAAGCATTGCTAAATCCAAACAGCTATTCCTCTTGCCATTTTGAAGAAATTAGAAAAGCGCCCTGATTAAATTCCTCTCCATACCCCTTTCTCCATTACAGAAATCAGCAATATCTCAGGTGTGTTTAGGAGAGAAA